GAGAACAGCAGGGTCGTCCGCCTGGCTAACATTTGCAGCCAGATCTTTGAGAATAAGTGTATGTAGATTGAATTCGAGACTATTGATATTGTCAGAAATGTCGGTATTTATTTTTGGCAATTTATCGACGAACCTGTCCATGATGGGTTCAGTGGTTGGACGTCACGAGTAACAGAGTAGTTAGACTCCGCCGCAACAGTCGAACACCATGTCGTTGCTCCCATACGATGCCCCAGTCAACTATAAAGATGAAAAGGGTTGGAACTCTTTTTGACACGCTGTGAAGTCGTTCTAACGCGTCCCGATACCCAGAGAAGATTCAACAATTCTTGAACAAGTTTGAAGGGGTTTCAGACGATGTTGTTCAAGGATTCGATGCCCTTGATCTCCAGGACGCGGATGTACACCGGAAACCAAAATATATGGAGCAATTGGTAAGTCGAACAGTCAACCAGTATGCGTAGTCAAGAACGATGGCTGATGGCGTTCCACTTTTACAGCAAAAGATCGCGAATCGAGAACAGGAAAGGCTCGTAATTGACCTAGAAGATCTTCTCAAAGTAACTCGTCTTACTATTACCATACTGGTTTGTCTAATGAGCCTTCAGTACGAAAAGTCCATTGGAGGCCTGGTGAACCGCATTCGCTCAAATACGCGCCGCTATACGCAATTATTTTCGGAAGTGATCGACGAAGTTATGCCGAATCCAACCAAAGATATCAGTCATCTCGACGATGTTTTGGATGTTATCATCCATCAACGTAGGGAGAAGAACTTGGCAAATGGACAAGATGGTCAAAACCTGTTTCCCCCAATGTTGACACGAAGATAGTACGTTAAATATCTCCATAACATATCTTAAGCTTACCGTAATAGTAACCTTTACTTCCGACCCTTGCGAAACGATGTTCCTATGAGGGTAAGAGATGTCCGTGGTGCTCATTTAGGCCATCTCATTACAGTTCGTGGAATCGTTACTCGAGTATCAGAAGTCAAGCCTTTACTCTTGGTCAATGCGTATACCTGTGACAGTTGCGGGACAGAGATATTTCAAGATATCGCACACAGACAGTTTACTCCTCTAACCGACTGCCTGAACCCAGCGACATGCATGAAGGATGGTAGAAAGGGCACATTGCATATGCAGACACGCGCTTGTCGCTTTAGTCCGTTTCAAGAAGTGAAATTACAAGAAATGGTCAGAAGGGTTCAAACCACCTTGGGTCATCTCGTTTACATACGTTTCTAGGCAGATCAAGTTCCGGTTGGACACATTCCTAGGTCGATGACCATCCATTTATATGGAAACATGGTGCGAC